TTGTACCTTGCTGGTGGTTGCAGAGGCCTCTGCGTGCCTGGCTGGCTGAGCATCGTGAACCGAATCACAGAGAATTGATTCACTTTCCCTAAGCTGCCACCATTCTGGAGTGTGGCAGGCTGGGCTTCTCTTTTGAAAGTGAAGTCTTTCATTTTTCCACCTTGGAGTCTGTGCAAGGTGGGGTCTTCTGGGTTTCTCCCATTCTCTCAAGCATTCTTTTTATGGTCCAGTTCCAAAGTACTTGGTTTCGTTTTAATGTTAATATTTTCTGCAACCAAGCTCTCTCCTCTGCTCCATCTTCATAGGTCCCAACTTTCCTGGAGTTTTCTTTCTGGCCAACCTTGAAACATTTCAAATCATTCTGTTGGACCACTTGCTCTTTATTTTCAATGTAAAGCTGGCTAAAAGCCCCTGGTAATACCACAGCTGAATGTTTGGCTGTCTTGAAATTTCCTCTGCCAGATTAATTAGATCTCTGCCCTTAATCTCAGTCTCTTGTGAAGTCTCAGGACAGGAACAAAATATAGATAAATTTTTTTGCCAAAGCATAACTAACACACATGGCTTGAGGTCCAACAGCCAATGCAGTCCTTGTTCCCAACTGAACCCTCCTGAGCCTGGCTTTTACTGGCTACATTTCTGCTGACATGCTGGTCTTTTGAACTCTGACCAGACCCTCCAATCAAGCTCATCTTCTATCATTCTAAAGCTGCTTCTCCAGCCAGCATCTGAAACCTTTTTAAACTCCTCCGGCCAGCTAGTTCCAAATAATTCTGAACCGTGTGGTCACTTAGCAATAGCCCCACTTTTCCTGGTACCAAAGTCTGTCTTTGTTACTTTATTATCACTGAAGTGCAATACCCAACGCTCACAATTTAAAGGAGGAAGTCTTAGTAAAGCTCTTAGTTTGTATAGGTTTCAGTCCATAGCTGGCTGGCTCCCAGTTAGGTCAGCATGGCAGAGGGAAATGACAGGGGAGACACAGTTCATGTCATGGCAGTCAGGAAGTGAGACAGGGGTCAAGGAGGCCGGGATATATATCCCACTAGGCCACACCTCCAGGGACCCACCTCTTCCAACTAGGCCTCACCTTCCAAGGTCACATTTGGCCATAAACTCACCAGCCAATCCACACCAATGAATACCACTCCTGCTCTGTCCAATTACCTCCTGAGAGCCCCACCTGTGGCAGTGGAGACATCTAGATATAAATTATAACAGTTATACTAGAGTTAATGATCAGTCAGGGAGATGTCTGGTGCAATAAAACACAAGACAAACAAAATGTATCACTCTTATAAAGCAGGTAAAATTGATACTGCTTAGACGCTCTAAGAAAATCACCTGAAAATACATTCCAGTATACAACATAAAAGTCAGTAGGCTCCAGTTATGCTATCAAGAAATAACCATGCTATAATCTGAGCATAACAGGAGCATGAGAAAAGAAGAAAACCAAATACTTACTATTAATAAAAGAAAAGCCTAAGAGGAGACAAAACAAAACTCTTAAGGACAGACATGGAAAGAGACTCTGCAAATTTAGACTTTAAGAATGTCCAGTTTCCCCTAAATTAATTTTTAACCTGATGTAATTCTTTAGGAAATCAGAAAACCCAGGCCTTCATTGGGAAAAGAAGTAGGCACAAACAACTAAATCAGCTAGTGTAAAAACATAGTGACAGGATGGAGTGGAATCATCCTGCCAGGTCATACATTCAGTGTGAATCTACCATATTTAAAGTGGTCTTTGCTGGGAAAAAAATTGAAATAAAAATTTAAATTCTCAATAACAAGAGAATGTATGTAGAAATTCAATATACAGTGAGTCATCATGTATCAATGAAAATAAGTATTCAATAGTTGGTATTAGAACAATTCATCTTTTATTCAGAGAAAAATATCCAATCTAAATTTGAACTTCACACATTTATCACAATAAATCTCAGAACTAGACATAAAAAACAACAAAGAAAATGCATATATGGAGACATACTTTTGAGGAAAAAAGTTTACTAGGGTTGGAGTCCAAGAGCACTCTACCACTGAGCTACAAGCCCAGCCCTTTGTAGTCTTTTATTTCTTTTTTAATTAAAACAAAAATTATGTCCTTGGTACAGGGTCTCACTACGGAGCTTGGACTCATAGTGATCCTCCTGTTTTCAGCCTCCCCAGCACTGAGATTAAAGGCATGCACCACCACTCCAGGACTCATTGGCCAGCTAGCACTCCTGGGGGTGGGGCCAGTGCGACATGTGTTGCCAGGGATCTAAACCTGGTCCCTGTGCTTGCCTAAGCAGGTGCTTAGTTTGCTGAGCTATCTCGCTGGCCCTGTAGTCTTTTATTTTGAAACAAGGTCTCACTAAGTTGCTGAGACTGGCCTTGAATGTACTCTTTTGGCTTTAACCTCTTGAGTAGCTGGGATGGTCAAAATCCTAACAGCAAAGAATGATATATCCAAGCCAAACCGGGTGGCAAACTCCTGTAATCTTAGCATTCAGGAGGCCAAGGCAGGAGAATCACTGCAAGATCAAGGCCAGCCTGGACTACAAAGTGAGTTCAAGGCCAGCCTGATCTGTATAGTGAAACTCTGTCTCAGAAAGAATATATATATATATATATATATATATATATATATAGAATATATATTATTAAAAAGTGAAAAGATAAATCATAGACAAAATATTTATAAAATTATATATCAAGTAAGGGGCTACTTGTACTAGAATATAAAAAAATTAGAATTCAATAATAAAAATACAAATAAACCAGCTTAAAAATGCAGTAAGTATTTAAATAGGCAATCCACCAAAGAAGTGATGAAAACAAATAAAATATGAAAATACACTCAGGAATAATTATTAGAGAATTAGAGATTAAAACCACAAAGAAATACACATATAAATGACTACAATAAAAAAAGACAGAAAACAAGTCCTGGCAATGATGTGGGAACCTTGAGCCCTCCCTCATACATAGCTGGTAGGGATGTAAAATGGCACTACCACATAGAAAAATAATTTTTCAGTTACTTAAAATGTTAAACATAAAGTTACCATATGATCCAAGATTCTACGGGAAGTCAGAGAACATCTTCTGCTCCCTGGGGTTGGAGGTTAATGGGTTAGTTTCTTGTTTTCATTATCAAAAGGGAAGTCCTATCTCCCATGCTTGAGGGAACTAAGTTGCTCCACTCCCCTAATACTGTGTTTACACAGTAAAATGGAAGATTCTGGAAGAATGTGCTGTGGCTGTTGGCTTGGAGAGGAAGAGGAGAGTGGTCTGTTACAAGGGACATTGCCATACCCAGGTCTGACAGGGTGAGAAGTGAAGAAGAAGGAGGGTTGGTGAGAAACCCCAAAGAAGCCACTCTCACACAAGCCTTCCCACAGGGCTCTACCACAGGAGAAAACCCTTCAGAGAAGACACATTTGCATTTTGGGAGAAAAAAGAAAGGAGAATGATACTTCCCGAGATGATAGTGGAGAGGACTTCTAAAGAAGCCGTGGGTTGATTTTCTGCTATAGAAGGAGCTAGGAGCTCTGGGAGTAAGAAGCAAGGGAAGAATGTGGGAGGATGGTAGGAAGAGTCCAACAGGCTCAAGAGAATGTGAGGCTGAAAGCTGGATGAAGGGAAGAGTGCAGAAGCAGGTTAGAGGTCTAGGGTAGGTGAGTCCCCTATGTAGGCTGGGACCCATGAAGAGGGATTGGTTTTGAGGAGATCAATGCAGGCCCTCTTGCCAGGCACTGCCTTGGTACAAAGAGAAGAACCAGGGTGCCATTTTGGGACCTGGATCAGACTGAGCTCTGCTTCAGCCCCACAGGCCTGGAGGCGCCTAGTCCATGGAGACAAAGCCGTGAGAGGCAGCACACTCTCTGTGAATGTACAGATGATGGTCCGAGACACAGGACAGAGCATGACTACAACTAGACAAAGCTCACAGTAGGGCATATTCTTACTGAAGGAATGAGTTGGGGAGCAAGGAGGCACCAGAGAAAGGCCTTGTGCGCTGGAGGGCAGAAGCGAGTGGCCAACTGGTGGCCTTTGGAGTCAAATATTTAGACATCAGAGGAGAACAAAGGTGAGCATTGCTGCACATGACCTGTGTCAGCAGGCCAGGAATCTGTTGATCTGGGAAATGATGATCTTTAATGCAAGAAAAAATAAGACATTCGATAGAGGGTACATGATGCTATCCATTGAGTTGGCAAATTTAACAGAGATGGATGACAGAGGAAAGAAAAATGTCTACTGGTGCAGGAGAAATTAAATACTACAAAAGAAAGAATCAGTAAGAAGGAAGCCCTGCTCAGAGAGAGGTGGAATATCATTTGAGAAGCAAAGAGAAAGAAAAATAAGGGAACCACGTGTGATGATGCACTTCCATAATCCCAGAACTGAAGCGGCTGAGGCAGGAGGATTGCCATGACTTCAAGGCCAGCCTGGACTACATGGTGAAACCTTTTCTCAAAAATAAAGCAACAAGAAAATTAAGAGAATGAGGGTGGGGTGTTGCAGATTAGAAAGAGTGAAGGAGTGGAATGGAAATTCAAACAAGTCAAGCAAGGGCCTGGCCTTAGCCCTCCAAAGGCACAGGCACTGGGAGTAGGGAACTTCACTAAGAGATAAGAGGGCAGTAACCTAGGGCTCAAGAGAAACCAAGCCAATGGGCACATTGCTTAAGGCAGCAAAAGACAAGCTGAAAGCTGAGAAGCCGTAGCATTATCATAAACAAGGGAGAAACAACTGCAGGGGGGAGCCCACAGAGAAGTGTGGTACTCCATGAGTGGATCACAGTTCAAGACCGGCTCTTTCCTCATCCTCTTCTGCCCTGCTCTCCCCTGTCCCTGTCCAGGCAGCCAACCTCGCCTGCATCCCGAGTACCCTGACCACCTGTCTACACTGCACCTTGCCCAGGGGGCCCCTCTTCAGGGTCATGGGCACAAGGAGGGCCCCTTGGAGATTCACGTGGTCTCCAGTTCTGTATGTCTCTGACTCACCCCAGCCCGAAGCTCACCCCCAGCCAGTAGTGCTGAGATATTTTGCTGTGTGCTCCGGTAGTCAGCCAGCCAGTAGAGGTGCCCCTCTACAATGGTGGTGGAGTCTGAAGCGTACACAATTTGGGGAGTCCTCCTTAAGAAAAAGAACACAAAAATTACAAATACAGAATTAGATACCAATGAGATACAAATACAAAATTAAAGACTCTATATGTGTGAGAAAGAATGAAAAAGGAAATAACAAGAACTACAAATATTAAAAAGGACAAGTATAATCACCACAAAAGCAACGTAACACTAACAAGTCAGTTGTGTGGCAGGCCTCTGAACAACTTTTTTTGTGTCCTGGCAGAACATTGGCCCCCACAGATGCCTCTATCCGGACCTCACAACTTGGGGACAGGCATGTTTCCTGACACAGCCAAAGGCTGAGGCCCATGTGACAAGGGCATAGACCTAGGGAGGGGGAGCTCCAAACTAACCATGTAGACACAACTTAATGCCCTGGATCTTAAAGTTGAAGGAACTTTCCTGGAGTTGGTGAGAGGAAGAAATGTGAGCAGGAAAGCGGTCAGATGCTGTGTAGCTAGCTGGCTCTGAAGACAAAAGAAGAGGTGAACCAATGAAGGCAGTGCATCGAGACTCTGGGAAGGTAGGAAAGCTCCAGAAGGAGGTCTCCCTTGGTGGTTTTGCAAAGGTGGGACTGCTTCACTTGTGGGGGGCACATTCTGCCTCCGCAGCCCCCGTCACTCTAACCTTGCTTACCTGGAAGAGTTGAGGCCATTCAATTTATTTCTGGAGTGGAGTGTGGACTTCGGCAGAATGAGTGGGGTGGAGCAGGTGGATTGGGTAGGGGGCCATCAGATAAGCTCTTCAGGGCGGAATCAATGAAAGCTTTTTACAGACAAAGATATAACTTCCTCTTCTCCTTCATCAGAAAAGGACAGGTGTGTCAGACAAACTGTCAACATTTTTGAGGCCACTATGTGGGGGACAAATGGTACAAATGGTACACATGAGTGGCCATAGCCTCCTGTCTGTGTGACTCTGAGGAAACTACCAAACACAGCACAGCCTGTCCTCATGAGAGGAGGCTTCTCTGCAGGCCCAGCCCCTCCTGGCTTTGCAGTGGGGAGTAACTGGGCCAGGAGTGGGGAACTACAAAAAGGCTCACAGTGTTTCTGAGGGTGCTGAGGGATCTATGATTGCTGTCCCCCATGGACAAGTGATCCACTGAGTCATTTCAGTCCTCTCCTAGTGAGTCCAACATCACACACACACAGACAGGGACAGAGGAAAGGCCTGCTGGCTGCACTGCTGCCTAGGGGTTACCATAGTCTAAGCTGTAGTGGAAAACCAGGTGAGCTACAAGTGTCCTCCCTTCCAAAGCATCCACCCCAGCAAGGAGGGAGTCTGACTGTGAGAACTGGAATCTGTGCTGTCTCCAGAGACACCTCTGTGTCTACTGCCCAGTGTCACTCCAGCAGCACCTTCTTTATTCATTCATCTGGAGTGAAGACAGCCTGCAGGACAAGAAGACAGAGCCAGCAACTGAATGCTGTGTGGTGCAGGGCTGTCTGCAGGGAACAGGTTGATGACTTTCCTAAGTGCCTAACCCTGTCTTCCAAGAGCTCGTTAGATTTGGAGAATTGCATAGAATAGATTACTTATGTTCATGATAGGACACATTTATTAATTAAAAAGGCATCACTTGCCAACAAGCATCTGAAGATACATGCAACATCCCTAATTATTAGGAGGCTGCAAAGACTGATCAGAGTGAGGGACCGTTTCACTTCATCGGGATGGTGCCTATCACAAAAGTAGGAGACAGCAGGTGTCAGCACTTGTGCTGACGGTGGGAACGTAAAATGCTTTTGCTACTATAGCAAACGGTACTGCAGTGCCTAAAAAAACCTGAAAATAAGACTACCATGTGATCCAACAGCACATCAGGGTGTGTACGTATGCCAGAAAAATTCAGATCTTAAAAAGATATTTGTATACTCACAGCAGAATTACTCATAGTAGCCAAAAGGTGGCAATAATGCAAGTGTTCAACTGCAGATGAATGGATGAAGCAAATGTATATGGAAGAGAATGGTATTTAGCTTTGAAAAGGAAGTAAATTCTGTAATATGTGGTAGCCACTCACAGGCACAGTAAAGGGAAAGTTGGCAAGGGAAGGGAAGGGGAAGTTTTTGTTTAAGAAGTATAGTTTCAGTTTGACAAGCTGAAAAAACTTTACACTTAAAAATGCTCACAATGATAAAATTTTGTTGTTATTATTACCATTTAAACAAAGGAGACTATCCCCTAAGTAAATGCTATCAAATGTCTAAAGAATTTTTAAAGGGCAAGTGGAGTACTATGCTAGCTGGTGCACCCACTACCTCCAGCCTGCCGTGAGTGTGCGGCCAGCTGGGGCTCGCAGACAGGAGGCGGCGCAGGGAAGCCAGGCCACAGGAAGAAGAGCCAGGAGCAGCCTCAGCAGCAGCAACAGAAATTAGAGCACTGCAGTGAGGAGCAGAGAGACAGATCAATTCAGCCCCTGGCCATAATGAATGGCCTAGTGTCAAACCCCTAGGAAGCCAGGGTCTGGGCAGTTGAGAGTTTTGTCTTGCATAAGATACCTAGAACCTGAGATCATAATCTCAGAGAGTGATTCTCTGTGGGGAAGTCCCCTTCTCCCATCAGTACTGGGGATTGAACCCAGGGTCTTTGCACTAAACTGCATCCCAAGCCCTTTATTATTATTTTTGTTTATTTGGAGATAGGATCTCACTAAATCACTAAGTTTAGCCTAGTTTGGGCTTAAACTTATGATCCTCCTGCCTCAGCCTCCTGCTCTGCTGGGATTCCAGGCACACCTGGCTATGGCAAGCTTCTTAAAATGTAGCTTCTGACTCAGTGGGTGTGGGGGCCGAGGACCCTGCATTTTGGGCACAATCCCAGGAATGCTGAGAGTGCTAATCTGCAGTTTATACCCATAGGATCAAGGGCCTGAAAAATCCAACTAATCAGATAGAAAATTGGCAATGCCCAACAACAATGTGATGGAGAAGATGGTAGCAGTGCCAATAAATGTGTCATTCTGTCTCTAGAATGCAGAAGAAGTAACCAAACTGACATAGGCCAGGACTCACATCCTAAGCTATGTTTTGTCAGAAGCTCCTTGCTAAGCGAAGGTGTGGGGAAGCATGTGGAGCCATGCAGTGCCCCATGGTACTCACATGAGTCCACCTAAGAGCTCTGTTACCAGGTCACGAGACCAGGGAAGCAAGGAGTAGACAGGAGCTCTGTTACCAGGTCACGAGACCAGGGAAGCAAGGAGTAGACAGCTTAGAGCTGAAGCAACACACGCAAAATGAAGAGGGAGATAACAAAAGAACTGTGATCTTAGGGACAGAAAGTGGGAGAGGCATCAGGACTCTGTGTGTGTGTGGTGTGGCGGGGCACATGCGTGTGGTATACGTGTATGAATATGCACATGCACTTATTTACCTACATATAAATTCAGAACTGCCCAGCATGTGAAGAAAGAAAATCAAGTAAAGGAAAACCAATATACTGAATTTCCAAAAAGTTAGTACCTGAACCTTATAAAAATGGTGGCTTTGTCCTAGTCAGGCATGGTGACACAGGGCTTTCAAAGGCCTTGTAACCCCAGGGCTTTCAAAGGCTGAGGCAGGAGGATGGCAACCTTGAACCCAGCTTGGACAACTTTGGCAACTTAGTGGAAACTTGTCTCAAAATAAAAAAATAAGAAAGAGGAGAAAAAAGGCTAGGGATGTGGCTTGTTGTGAGGGCCCTAGATCCAATCCCCAGTACTGCTAAAATGATGATGATGATGATGATGATGATGATGATGATGATGATGATGATAGGTTTGCTTCACCCAATAAAGGAAAAAGATTGATAAATTTATTTATTTATTTTTGGTGCCAGGGATCAAACTCAGGACCTTGTGCTTGCCAGGTAGGCTCTTGTGCTGCTGAGCTAAATCCCCCGCCTGATAAATTTATTAACTCACATTTACACAGGATTTCAAAATAAGGATCTGGAATGAGGTGTTGTGAGGCTCACAGGGGAGGACTTGTCCCCAGCCCACCAAGGCAGTGTGGGTCTTTTATTTCTTTTTATCTCCTCAATAAATTAGGAAAGTGGGGGCTCTGAGATGTGTCTAAGTTGATGGAAGCAGCAAGTGACAGACCTTTTTCTCCTTTTCTGCTTCTTTCCAGAACAAGCAGATATATAGCATAAGCAGAGTGTCAATTAAATTTTGATCACAAAATTCAAGAGGTAAAGGAGATCCCACACTAAAAATTCTTTCGGAATAGTTCAGTGTTGTGAACAAAATCCTCTTTGTTGGCCATCGTGTGGCACAGGCTCTGAGGAAACACAGATGGCAGAAGTTGAGTTTCAGGAGCTCAGTTAGTGGCGGCTGCTCCCTTCTGGTGACCACAAATGAAAGCTGACCTTTGGGCTTCCTGGGACTCAGTCATCAGAGCCAAGGGTCAGAGGGTTTGTGACGCTGCTGGGACCAGGAGTGGCAGCTGGTGTCAGCGCCAAAGTACAGCCTGCACCCTCTGCAATATTTAACAGGGTGCAGTGACCTCTGACTCAACTGCCCGTCTGTTCCCCATGCAGGTACTATTGCCTTTGGGTTTTAGACTCTGACTCCTTGTTTGGAATTCACACAGACACAGGAGAATCATGAGGAATTCTGAAACATCTCTCTGTTTTCCATTGGAAACTCAGCTTGTTATTTCACTGCTTTGTACACACTGATGCACTGGGGTGGGTGGCTGAGCACAGGCGGCAGCAGAACGCTCCACCAGTCTCCTCTCAGGAGACTGCACTCAACCTTTGGGTGCAAAGGTTGCCTCACACATCCCACACACCTGTGCAGGGTACAGAGCACGGCAACCACAATGAGTCTCAACTCAGCCAGGTTTGGTGGCGCAAATCTACACTTAGCACCCTGGCAGGCTGAGGCAGGAAGATTGCAAATTCAGGCCCAGTCTGAACAACTTAGCCAGACTTTGTCTCAAAGAAAGAGTGGAAAAAGGGCTGGGCTTGTAGCTCAGTGTGAAGACCCTGGGTTGACCTCCCAATACCACCAAAAACAAACAAACAAAAACCCTCTGATTTTGTTTTCTTCCCATCCTCTGAGTCGCTGTTGTTTTTAATGGGAAAGTCCTGTGTCAGCCTTCCCAGGGTCCTAGTGACTCTGAGGTGTCCCTGTTTCCACGACCCTGGAAGGAGCTATGTAAGAAAGAGAGGATATTTGCTAGAAAATGAAGGACAGGCTAAATAAAGAAAAAAAAAAGAAAAGAAAAAAGGACAGGTGCTAGGGAGTAGGAAGATAAGATCTTTTCAAAAGGAGAAGAGAACTAAGAGATGTCAGGAGGGGAGAAGAGGAGAGGGAAAGGAGTCAAGAGAGGAATTAGATGTGGTCTAGAATAGGGAGTTATGTACCAACTCCCTATGATGAGGATAATCTTTCTGTGCTGCAAATACGTATTAATACACAAAACATTCTGGAAAAAGTGAAGATCAGAAAAGTTATTCCTAAAACATAGAGAATTGCTGAGCTGAAGACACCTAAAGCTTGGAGATGTCTGCTTCTCCTCTGTCTAAAAACAGAAAAATTAATACGATAGGCAGTGTTTGTAGCTGTGCCCTGGTTTCACTCCTGCAGACAGAGTGTGAGTCCTGCTTCGCTCAGGGCGGCTCTGTACCATGCACAGGCGCCAACAGGGCAGATGCTGCTCCTTCCCAGCTCGCCGCCTCTGCAAGCCTGAAGCTGCTGTGTCTTTGTCTTGTCCCCACTCTAAGATGTCACAGTCCTTTGTTAAATCAGCATTTGAGACAGCATCCTAAGCCACTGCTTTGAGAGTTATTTTGTAGAGTTTTCTCGGGAAAGAATACCTCCTCCTGTGCAGTGTGTGCTCTGGTAGCAAACTCCCTTCTTTTCCTCCTGCTAATCTGCCTTTTGTTAGAGGAACATCCCAACTACAAACTCACAAGGACTGGGGAGAAATCATTTTCCTCTCCTTCAAAACAAGATGAGGAAATTAATACAGGAAGAAAAGCGTTTAATAAAACTTGATAGACATGCATGATTTTAAAATACTTGGTTAACCAGAAGGAAGAAAACGTCATTAACTTGGTACAGGATAAATACTAACAGCTTTTGCTATATGTCTTATTAAAAAATAATTCACCCCAGAATAATTCTCATTAAAAGGAAAAAGTAGAGATTTTCATTGCTGGTACTCAGATGGGAAGGTATTTAGAGTAAATTTTTTCAATAGATTAGACCTAAAAATACCAGATAATTTTTAAAATTTGTTTTCAATACGGAATTGAGCTGGTAGGAAAGTGAGAGAATTCTCAAGAGGCCAAAATGTAAGAGATAAACTAGGTCTGAGAAGTGAGAAAGGGAAGGAACACATTGTCTTAGAGTTGTCTCCATTTCTGGCACCCTGTACCCTGGGTTCTCATGGGAGGGTAGCGGACAAAGCTTGGAGCCTAACGTCGGGGGCAAGAGGTCAGATCATAGAAGTGACACCAGTCAGGACCCCCTCAGGGCGATGTCCATGGAGGCAGACAGTTGTCCATGGCCTTCCCCACCTTGGGCGTGAGTGAAGCCAGTAGAAAATGTTCCTTTGAGAACTCCTAACAAGAAGCCAACAATCAGACAGGTTTGAGTTAAAATTTATATTACTTGTGTGCCTGGTGAGTCCCAAGTTCATGATGGTTCCGGTTGACACCATTCCCAGACCCCTGGCAAAAGTATAAATCCTCTGGAGAAAACCACTTTCAACTTCAAGATCAAAGAGTCCTACAGAAAGAAATATGAAATATTCTGAGAAACATGAGTTCAAAATATGAGATTAAAAAATGATTAAAATTAGGAACATGACAGGAATGCCCAGGATGTCTAAGTTTTTGTAAATAATATTCTCTAGAAGTGTGCACTTCCACATCTGTGTGCACGTCAGTCCTGAGTCTGTGTTC